AGGCTTCAGGCCAGGTTGAGAGAGCAAACAGGACTGTGGTGAGTATTCTGAAAAATTACGTAGCCGCAAACCACAAGGACTGGGACGTGAAACTCCCTCTGGTCCTCATGGCCATAAGGGCCACTCCACACACGTCGACTGGCATCGCTCCTTTCGAGATGATGACGGGGCGACAAATGACTCTCCCTCTACACCTGTTGTACCAACCAGGCGATGCTGCCATGGCAACAGCCTACACCACACAACAATACATGAAAGACTTGGAAAGACACCTTAAAAACACTTTTGCTTTCGCACAGAAAAACCTGGAAAAATCAGCTGAAGGACGCAAAGCGTACTACGACCAAAAGGCCTCTCACGAGGAACTCCAAGTGGGAGACAGGGTCTGGTACTACACGTTTGCACCCAAAACTGGGAGAAGAGAGTCCGGGACCGGAACTCTCGCCCGTAAGCTGATGCCCAGATGGACTGGACCCCATCTGATAATCGACAAACTGTCTCCAATTATCTACCAGATAAAAATCAGTAAAGGCCAAAAAGAGCCAACTGTTAAATGGGTACATCGTAACCAGGTTAAACAACACAAGGCATGCAATAACTCCTCAGGAGACAAAGATCTCACAAAATCTGACCTCGTGGGAATAAGGGTCATCCAAGCAGAAGATAACTAATGGATAAGAAACTTAACCATAGTTTAAATTTACAGGACCTACCCTTGACCATTACGAAGCTAAGACCTATCTCTTTGTGTTTCCATAGGACAATGATGATACCACTACTGGTAATCTTCACCCTCTTGGGTGCCACCCAAGAAAACAAAGCCCTCGTACATGCGGTAAATGAGTTAGCCCTTAAGGTTGAAGCGGATTACGCTGTCGCACACCTAATGGATAGGATTTTTGCTGACATGCTTAGAGATATCAGTTCGTCGGTAGATACACTAGCCACCGGTAGGATCCCACCATATCTAGTCTCTCTACAGATGGTGAACGACATCCTCAGCTCCGCTACGCACGAAAAAGTTACGCAGACACAGGCACACCTGGCTTACACTCTCGGTAGCGCAATCCCAATCTACGTCAATCACAAAACATTTGAAATGGCGTTCATTATCAACCTACCGATAATTCCCTCAAACGGCATATATAGACTCAGGGACGTCGTAAATGTTGGCAATTGGCACGGCGAAAACCATGTTCAAATTGACACACCAAGGATGGTTGCGTACCACGACGACAACCCCTCAGTTTACCTAGCTTCAAACCTGCAGATGTGTGTTCTCACTCGGGAGATACACTATCTGTGCCCGAGCAAACCGTTTATGTGGAATAAAACCGCGGGCATATGCGGATTAACACCTATTCCGGAAAATTCTAAGTGCTCAACGACCGTAACGCCTCGACACCTGGCTAAAGATGCAAAAGCGGAAATAATTGGCTCTCGTTGGCTAGTGAACGCTCCTCAAAGGAAGGCGATCATAGCCTACGACCAACCCGG